CCAGGCAAGACGTACGAGTCACAGCCCGATTGATCAGATATATTTTTTGGAGTTGCATCAGTATACATATAGACGCATATGACGTATATAATAGATGGATTATACCTCCCTTCAGCAAAACCATTTATAACAATTAAGACTTCATAAATATGTATGGGAACTTTCTTCAAAATTTAGTCAATAACGTTTCACGCGAATTAATACGACAGCAATCTCAACACACCTGTAACAGATGGTCGGCCAACAGGTGAAACACAGCTAGCAAAGTTCATTGTGATTTTGATCTTAACAAATTCTTATTACAGTGAGAAAAAAAGCACCGGAGAATATATTAAGCCTAATACGCTGTATCTGATGATCCTTTCTTAGATGCAGTTTTTGCCGACAGCGCCGGGCCAGCCGCGTTGCAGTAACTGTGGTCGGACCCCCGCTGAATGCAACACCACAGATCAAAATTTTCACCCCCCCAAAAAAGGCCTGGGCCCAGAGTAGGTTTGGACAGCATTACAACCCTGGAAACCAACTGCAGGTAAAATTAACGCACACAGAGGTAGATAGATAGATAGATATAGATAGATACAACCCATGTGCAACTAAAAACAGGAGCAGCGACCTCCAAAACAACAACAGCTTTTCAAGAAAAGTTCTCCATGTTCTACGGTGTTCTTTCTGCCGTAACTCACCGTTACCAGCGACGTTAATGGCTCGTTATTGGGATATACTTGTGTTCCCTGAAGCTGTTATCAGCGTCTTCTGGGCGCAACCCAGATTAAGAGAAGAACTTGACGAAACACCTGGAGAACAGGTGAACAGTTGTTTCGTCATGAACAGGTGAACATGCCGGCGGGGAAGAAAAAATTCGAACACAGAAGAAACAGCCTGCCACACAATGGATGGCCTGGAGAACAAATGAACTGCTTGGAGAACAAGGGTGCGCTTCAGGTATCAATCTTCAAGGGGTATCAAGCTTCAAGGGGTATCAAGCTTCAAGGGGTATCAAGCTTCAAGGGGTATCAAGCTTCAAGGGGTATCAAGCTTCAAGGGGTATCAAGCTTCAAGGGGTATCAATCTTCAAGGGGTATCAAGCTTCAAGGGGTATCAAGCTTCAAGGGGTATCAAGCTTCAAGGGGTATCAAGCTTCAAGGGGTATCAAGCTTCAAGGGGTATCAAGCTTCAAGGGGTATCAAGCTTCAAGGGGTATCAATCTTCAAGGGGTATCAAGCTTCAAGGGGTATCAATCTTCAAGGGGTATCAAGCTTCAAGGGGTATCAAGCTTCAAGGGGTATCAAGCTTCAAGGGGTATCAAGCTTCAAGGGGTATCAATCTTCAAGGGTATCAAGCTTCAAGGGGTATCAAGCTTCAAGGGGTATCAAGCTTCAAGGGGTATCAAGCTTCAAGGGGTATCAAGCTTCAAGGGGTATCAAGCTTCAAGGGGTATCAATCTTCAAGGGGTATCAAGCAGGTATCACGCTCTGGAGAAGGGAACAACTTTGATAGTAAGGTAAAACTTCGATATTATTATATCGAGGTTTTACCTTGATATAACAACCTCGCAAACTAGAAAAACAACTTTTAAAATATAGAGCAACCCCAAAGAACAAGGGCACAGCCTGCAGAACAAGGGTACAGCCTGCAGAACAAGGGCACAGCCTGCAGAACAAGGGCACAGCCTGCAGAACAAGGGCACAGCCTGCAGAACAAGGGCACAGCCTGCAGAACAAGGGCGCAGCCTGCAGAACAAGGGCACAGCCTGCAGAACAAGGGCGCAGCCTGCAGAACAAGGGTACAGCCTGCAGAACAAGGGTACAGCCTGCAGAACAAGGGTACAGCCTGCAGAACAAGGGTACAGCCTGCAGAACAAGGGCACAGCCTGCAGAACAAGGGCGCAGCCTGCAGAACAAGGGCGCAGCCTGCAGAACAAGGGCGCAGCCTGCAGAACAAGGGCGCAGCCTGCAGAACAAGGGCGCAGCCTGCAGAACAAGGGCGCAGCCTGCAGAACAAGGGCACAGCCTGCAGAACAAGGGCACAGCCTGCAGAACAAGGGCACAGCCTGCAGAACAAGGGCACAGCCTGCAGAACAAGGGTACAGCCTGCAGAACAAGGGCACAGCCTGCAGAACAAGGGCACAGCCTGCAGAACAAGGGCACAGCCTGCAGAACAAGGGCACAGCCTGCAGAACAAGGGCACAGCCTGCAGAACAAGGGCGCAGCCTGCAGAACAAGGGCACAGCCTGCAGAACAAGGGCACAGCCTGCAGAACAAGGGCACAGCCTGCAGAACAAGGGCACAGCCTGCAGAACAAGGGCGCAGCCTGCAGAACAAGGGCGCAGCCTGCAGAACAAGGGCACAGCCTGCAGAACAAGGGCACAGCCTGCAGAACAAGGGCACAGCCTGCAGAACAAGGGCACAGCCTGCAGAACAAGGGCACAGCCTGCAGAACAAGGGCACAGCCTGCAGAACAAGGGCACAGCCTGCAGAACAAGGGCACAGCCTGCAGAACAAGGGCACAGCCTGCAGAACACAGGGCACAGCCTGCAGAACAAGGGCACAGCCTGCAGAACAAGGGCACAGCCTGCAGAACAAGGGCACAGCCTGCAGAACAAGGGCACAGCCTGCAGAACAAGGGCACAGCCTGCAGAACAAGGGCACAGCCTGCAGAACAAGGGCACAGCCTGCAGAACAAGGGCACAGCCTGCAGAACAAGGGCACAGCCTGCAGAACAAGGGCACAGCCTGCAGAACAAGGGTACAGCCTGCAGAACAAGGGCGGAGCCTGCAGAACAAGGGCACAGCCTGCAGAACAAGGGCGGAGCCTGCAGAACAAGGGTACAGCCTGCAGAACAAGGGCACAGCCTGCAGAACAAGGGCACAGCCTGCAGAACAAGGGTACAGCCTGCAGAACAAGGGCGCAGCCTGCAGAACAAGGGCACAGCCTGCAGAACAAGGGCACAGCCTGCAGAACAAGGGCACAGCCTGCAGAACAAGGGCACAGCCTGCAGAACAAGGGCACAGCCTGCAGAACAAGGGCGCAGCCTGCAGAAGGGCACAGCCTGGAACAAGGGCGCAGCCTGCAGAACAAGGGCACAGCCTGCAGAACAAGGGCGCAGCCTGCAGAACAAGGGCACAGCCTGCAGAACAAGGGCACAGCCTGCAGAACAAGGGCACAGCCTGCAGAACAAGGGCGCAGCCTGCAGAACAAGGGCGCAGCCTGCAGAACAAGCCTGGAACAAGGGCGCAGCCTGCAGAACAAGGGCAAGCCTGCAGAACAGGGCGCAGCCTGCAGAACAAGGGCGCAGCCTGCAGAACAAGGGCACAGCCTGCAGAACAAGGGCGCAGCCTGCAGAACAAGGGCACAGCCTGCAGAACAAGGGCGCAGCCTGCAGAACAAGGGCGCAGCCTGCAGAACAAGGGCACAGCCTGCAGAACAAGGGCACAGCCTGCAGAACAAGGGCGAACAGCCTGCAGAACAAGGGCACAGCCTGCAGAACAAGGGCGCAGCCTGCAGAACAAGGGCACAGCCTGCAGAACAAGGGCACAGCCTGCAGAACAAGGGCACAGCCTGCAGAACAAGGGCGCAGCCTGCAGAACAAGGGCACAGCCTGCAGAACAAGGGCGCAGCCTGCAGAACAAGGGCACAGCCTGCAGAACAAGGGCACAGCCTGCAGAACAAGGGCGCAGCCTGCAGAACAAGGGCAAGCCTGCAGAACAAGGGCGCAGCCTGCAGAACAAGGGCACAGCCTGCAGAACAAGGGCACAGCCTGCAGAACAAGGGCGCAGCCTGCAGAACAAGGGCACAGCCTGCAGAACAAGGGCGCAGCCTGCAGAACAAGCCTGGCGCAGCCTGCAGAACAAGGGCACAGCCTGCAGAACAAGGGCGCAGCCTGCAGAACAAGGGCACAGCCTGCAGAACAAGGGCACAGCCTGCAGAACAAGGGCGCAGCCTGCAGAACAAGGGCGCAGCCTGCAGAACAAGGGCAAGCCTGCAGAACAGGGCGCAGCCTGCAGAACAAGGGCAGCCTGCAGAACAAGGGCACAGCCTGCAGAACAAGGGCGCAGCCTGCAGAACAAGGGCGCAGCCTGCAGAACAAGGGCGCAGCCTGCAGAACAAGGGCGCAGCCTGCAGAACAAGGGCGCAGCCTGCAGAACAAGGGCGCAGCCTGCAGAACAAGGGCGCAGCCTGCAGAACGATTTTTCAGCGTTTATAGGGAAGGTGCTTAAGACAGAGAATCTTGACAAATGAATAACTTTGGGGAATGTGAAGAACTATGGCAACAGAGGAAATGTGTGAATAACTACTGCACACGGAAAGGAAGGAAGGAAGGAAGGAAGGAAGGAAGGAAGGAAGGAAGGAAGGACGGACGGACGGACGGACGGACGGACGGACGGACGGACGGACGGACGGACGGACGGACACACACACACGCACGGAAATAAAAGTTCAGCTAATATATACGGCACAAGTAGAGTACCTAAACTACTGGGACCGTCTCTAAGCTCTCAAAATGCACTCTTGAAAGGAGAGGAGAGGATCGAGGTATTACAATATACTCAAGGTTAAGTACTCAAAGTTTAGGGAATATATTTGAACAAAACAACAACACACTGGGGCGAAAGACACGGGAAGTAAATGCAGAATAGAACCAGTGAGGAGTAGAGGTGTCATAGGCACAATCAGAGAACACTGTCTGAACATCAGAGGTTCACAGTTCTTCATCCCCTCACCCACCAAATAAACAATATAGCTGGAACATCAAATAATTTTCTAGAGGTAAATTAATACAGGGATTTCCGGGTCAGTTGGGATGTAATAGTCACGTGGGCCTGCTGGCCGCTTTAAGAAACAGCCTTATCGATCAAATTATCACCGTTTAAACCTCACAAAAGCGTAGTGTCACAGGTTGGGCAAGTTGAAGAACACTCGAAACATGCTACAGGTAAACAAGGAGGCACAAACACGGGGGGAGTGGGAGGGGGAGAGAAGAGAAGGGACAGGAAATATGCACAAACAGATAATGTCAACACTTACTTCTGACTTTTGGGGACGACAACGGGGGCGTAGTGCGGGTCGTAGCACTCTTCGAAGTCCTGGGCTGCGGGCTCGGCGGAGATGGCGGTCCTCTTGACCCTGGCCTCGGCGCCCTCACTCACGCCCTCGATAATACTGAGGTTGGAGGAGGACGGCGGCGTGTAGTAGCGGTCATTCTGGAGGCTGTTGCGGTTGTGGTGCTCGCTGTTGTTGTTGCGGCAGGTGAGGGAGCGCAGGGAGATGCGGCCGTGTAGAGAGTGCGGACGCTGGCCTGTCAGCGGTGGCAACACTGACCGCAGTTTGTCAAGCTGGGTGTTGAGGGTGGCGATGGTTGCCTCCTTCTCCCGTAGTTCCTCCTCCAGGCGCTTGATGGCACCGTCTTTGACAGCGAGGGACTCTAGGGCGGTGGCTAGGGCTGCCTGGGTGTCGCGCAGGGACGCGCGTCCCTTGCCGGAGTTACTGAGACCCATGGGCGGTGCACGTCCACTGCCGCCCTCCCCGCCACCGCGACTCTTAAACCACTTCTGCATTACGCAACACACAGACTCATCCTCCTCGCCCGGGGCGCACAACATGGGCAGTTGCCTTTGTACACTCTCCTGGACACACAATGGTTTACACGTTTCTTAGTCTCCGCCTCGTCCAGTCGGCCAGCCTCTCTCGGCCAGCCGCAAGTCGGGGCCAGGAGCCACCCACCTGTGACACTGCCGGTCGAGCCGTGGCCACAAATGCAACCTGGGCCGAAAAAGAGAGCAGATGTGGCCACACGCTATGGCCACCACGCCAACAATTCACACAAGCCAACGCGTAGGAGAGTGCAATGTTGCATACTAAAAGTGTCGCTGGTCGTATGACCTTACACACGACACACTGTGTGAAGTCGCTGCCCTTCACAACTCAAGAACAGTTGATATGATTAACACACGAGGCAGTAAGCACGTGGTACACTACACTTCACAAACGCTTCCCACAGCACCATTCAAGTCGCCTCCGCTGTTGGAAAGCCCATCACGGCGGTACTGTGAGCGTCACAACCTGTATGCAGATTCGACATTATCATGCAACTAATGAATGAAGGTTATGGCCACGAATGGTAAGAACAAACACTTTTATTTACCGTATCCCAATATCAGGTGCTGAAGCCCACCGCGAATCCCAGTAATCTGTTTTGGAACACAACAAAACTACTAATATTCTGTGCTGAAAAACCATCAAGAATCCCAATAGCTAGTCCCGGAGCCCCAGCACGAACCCCAATCCCTTGAAGCCTCCAAGAATCCCAATTTCGAAAACAAACCACCTTTTCGGAAGAATATCACACACCCAAGTAATCCGATTCCTTTCCCAACCCATTATGTGGGTGTAGGTGGGAAGGTTCATTAAATTACAGTTGTACTGAACTCCTTACAATATATATAGTTTGGGTGGTTGAGACATCCTGGTTTCAGTCCAACATCGCGACGGTGAGCTCAATACTTCACAGGTGTTGACTTTAACCAAACTGAATATATGAGAAATAAGCTCTCCGAGTTAAGAACACTAAGGTAAACACACACTTGGCTGATGCCCCCCCCCCCCCAGACACCTCGTAGTCTAGCTTCGTTAGTGCCCCCCCCCACACACATCTTGAGGTCTAGCTTCGTTAGTGCCCCCCCCACACACACATCTTGAGGTCTAGCTTCGTTAGTGCCCCCCACACACACATCTTGAGGTCTAGCTTCGTTAGTGCCCCCCTCACACATCCATCTTGAGGTCTAGCTTCGTTAGTGCCCCCCCCACACACACACCTTGAGGTCTAGCTTCGTTAGTGCCCCCCCCCACACACACACACCTTGAGGTCTAGCTTCGTTAGTGCCCCCCCCCCACACACACACCTTGAGGTCTAGCTTCGTTAGTGCCCCCCCCCCACACACACACCTTGAGGTCTAGCTTCGTTAGTGCCCCCCCACACACAACTTGAAGTCTAGCTTCGTTAGTGCCCCCCCCCACACATCTTGAGGTCTAGCTTCGTTAGTGCCCCCCACACACATCCATCTTGAGGTCTAGCTTCGTTAGTGCCCCCCACACACATCCATCTTGAGGTCTAGCTTCGTTAGTGCCCCCCACACACATCTTAAGGTCTAGCTTCGTTAGTGCCCCCCCCACACATCTTGAGGTCTAGCTTCGTTAGTGCCCCCCCCCACACATCTTGAGGTCTAGCTTCGTTAGTGCCCCCCACACACATCCATCTTGAGGTCTAGCTTCGTTAGTGCCCCCCACACACATCTTAAGGTCTAGCTTCGTTAGTGCCCCCCCCCCACACATCTTGAGGTCTAGCTTCGTTAGTGCCCCCCCCCCCACACCCATCTTGAGGTATAGCTTCGTTAGTGCCCCCCCCCCACACAGACACCTCAAGGTCCAGCTTCTTAAGGGGTGCCCTCCCTCACCCCTTCACTACAGACACACACACACAAAAGGTCTCACATGTATCAGCCCCATAAGAGGCTGGTACATAAGCTGGAGAGACAGGCAGGAGTAACTGGCAGGGCGCTCCAGTGGATAAGGGAGTACCTAAGCAATAGGAAGCAGAGAGTTACAATGAGGGTTGAAACCCCTTATTGGCGTGAAGTCACCAGTGGAGTCCCACAGGGCTCTGTACTCGGACCTATCCTGTTTCTGATATACGTAAATGATCTCTCCGAGGGTATAGACTCATTCCTCTCAATGTTTGCTGACGACGCCAAAATTATGAGAAGGATTAAGACAGAGGATGACAGCTTAAGGCTTCAAGAAGACCTGGACAAACTAAAGGAATGCTCGAACAAATGGTTGTTACAGTTTAACCCAAGCAAATGTAATTTAATGAAGATAGGTGTAGGGAGCAGGAGACCAGATACAAGGTATCATTTGAGAGATGAAATACTTCAAGAGTCAGAGAGAGAGAAAGACCTGGGGGTTGATATCACACCAGACCTGTCTCCTGAAGCCCATATCAAGAGGATAACATCAGCGGTATATGCCAGGTTGGCTAACATAAGAACGGCCTTTAGAAACTTGTGTAAGGAATCTTTTAGAACTTTGCATACCACATATGTCAGACCAATCCTGGAGTATGCGGCTCCAGCATGGCGTCCATATCCAGTCAGGCATGAGACTAAACTGGAAAAGGTTCAAAGGTTTGCCACCAGACTAGTACCCGAACTGATGGGTATGAGCTACAAGGAGAGACTACGGGAATTAAACCTCACGTCACTGTCAGACAGAAGAGTTAGAGAGGACATGATCACCACATACAAGATTCTCAGAGGAATTGATAGGGTAGATAAACACATATTATTTAACACAAGGGAGCACGCGCACTAGGGGACACAGGTGGAAATTGAGTGCCCAAATGAGCCATAGAGACGTTAGAAAGATTTTTTTTCAGTGTCAAAGTAGAAGACAAATTGAATGTATTAGGAAGTGATGTGGTGGAGGCTGACTCCATACACAGCTTTAAGTGTAGATATGATAGAGCCCAGTAGGCTCAGGAACCTGTATATTAGTTGATTGACAGTTGAGAGGCGGGACCAAAGAGTCACAGCTCAATCCCCGCAAGCACATCTAGGTAAGTACACACCTTGAGACACCGCATGTGACCACTTCGTGGTACAACACTTACAGCCAAGTGTTCAATAGGCTGTCACGTCAAACATTCACACTAAGGCTCTAAGTAACACCGTAGTAGTAGTAGTAGTAGTAGTAGTAGTAGTAGTAGTAGTAGTAGCAGCAGCGGTGGTGGTGGATGTTGCCACGAAGAAAAACGTTGAACAATGAAGCGTGCCGAGGTGCGGGCAGCTAAGCAACGTTCCCGGACAACACGATAAATTATTAATCACTTGCACAAGAAAACGTTATTGTGGAGAGGTGTGTGTGTGCGCGCGCGCGCGCACGAGCACACCCTCCGCCTCACACTACCCCCCCCCCCCCTTTCCCTCCTTAAAAAAAAAAATCTGCCAAAACTGAGAGAGTGAGGCCACTGACACAGCCTATATATATATATATATAACCCACATGAGTGGGAGCGGCCCGGCACCGCCCTCCTCGCCTCACCGCTACACTCTGGCTCCTCACAAGCTTGGTGCCAGACTCAACTGTATAGAAAGTTTAATCCTCGTAACCCCCCCCCTCTCTCCTCCCCCCTCCTCGGGGCGCCCTACCCCCCCACCTCCCCCTACTCCAGTCAGTCACTCGGCACATCCCCCCCTCCCCCCACACACACCTGTTGTGACATTTCACAAATACAGTGATGTCAGGTTGTTGGCATTAAATATACTCTTTACCTGCTTTTTCGGGGAAATGACATAATGTCGACTAGTTAGTTTTTTTCTTTTTTAAAGAGGTGGCGTGATGCATTAATACAAGAGGTGTCCTGGTATGGTGCTGGGGAGCGCACGGTAAACTGTGTTGGTAGGTGAGGGCAGGATTTCTTGTCACTTCTGACCACTTGTCAGTTCCCTGACAAGAGGGAGCCAGCTTAGCTGCCAACACCCACACATCGTGTCAGCAAGGCGGACAGCCCGCCTGCTTTCATACCTCTCACTGTATTTCCCACTTCTAAACTTCACTTCACCTATGCCTCTCCTCCTCCTTTACTCACAAAAAAGTCTGGTGGGTGTGGCGGTGGAGAGGGGTGAATTGGTGGGTGGTGGTTAGTGGGTGGTGGTGGAGGGGGGGGGTAGATGGGGGTTAGTGGGTGATGATGGTGGAGGGGGTCTGGTGGTTGGTTGGTGGTGGTGAGGGCGGGGGGGGGGGATTGGTGTGTGGCGGTTAGAGTTTTGGTGGGTGGTGGTGCTGGGGGCGATTGGATGGTGGTGGTAGTGGTAGTGGGTGGTAGCAGTAGTAGTGGGTGGTAAGTGGTAGTGGGTTGTAAGTGGTAGTGGGTGGTAAGTGGTGGTAAGTGGTGGTAGGTGGTAGTAGTAGGTGGTAGTATTGGTGGGTGGTACTGGTAGGAGACGGTAGAGCGCTGTGGAGGTTGTGCTCACCAAATCACAAACTTTATCCACAAACACCTGCACATTTGTAAATGAGCTAGTTAACAATTACCAGTACCTAAGAGCACTTGCCTAACAGTGCCAACCAACAACTGACGTCAACCTCTTCATGCCCCGCCTACTACAGCACTGTTATACCCGTTGTGTTCCAATTAACCTTCCCGTACGTTCGAATTCTTTGCCGAACGTGACCCCCCTAAAGTTGTGGATGGAGGGAGTGGTCCACAGACTTCTTTCAGGTCATTCCACGTGTTGACCTCTCGTGCAGGGTTATCTTGAGGTTATCTTGAGATGATTTCGGGGCTTTAGTGTCCCGCGGCCCGGTCCTCGACCAGGCCTCCACCCCCAGGAAGCAGCCCGTGACAGCTGACTAACTCCCAGGTACCTATTTACTGCTAGGTAACAGGGGCATTCAGGATGAAAGAAACTTTGCCCATTTGTTTCTGCCTCGTGCGGGAATCGAACCCGCACCACTGAATTACGAGTCCTGCGCGCTATCCACCAGGCTACCAGGCCCCTTTGGGTGCGGGTGTTCCCTTGTACTTCTTCGCTTCCTTTGCATTTCCAGTTTCGAAATGTCATTTAATCCTAAATTATCTTAAATTAAAGAATCATGTCTTTGTCCGCCTTGTGTATTCTCCTCAATATCTTGTATGTTGCCATCATATCTCCTCTCCTTCAGGGTAGTGGTGGTGATGTGGGTGACAACAGCCAGGGCACCCTGCATGACGGGCATGCTCACCACTACCGCATGCCACACATCCGCCTCCAACAGCTTGCTACTAGTGACTACTAATGTCAAACTACCCCCCTACCCTCCCCCTGCCTACACACGCACCAGCCCATGGCTGCTTCCACTCTTATTAAGTCCACTATCATTCATAACACCACAAGCCGGATATATCACATCCCTCTTCATTTCGTTTCATTTATTTTATATACAAAAAAGGGCGGGCACAGATAAAAGAATAAATGATAAACTACGAGCGTGTTAGCCGATGGGAAGGTGGCCAAGGCACATGGTAAGTGGGTCACTCTTGTAAACAAAGCACGGGGTGCGCCGGTCCCTCACCCGCCCGACTGTCAGTCTGTCAGTCAACCCACTGACAAACTGTCCCACTCGGTCTCTGATCCTCATCGTTTGTGGCGTTGCTGGGCGACTGTTGGCAGTGGTGTCATGCCTCGGTGCGCACTGGAGATGCGCAGCTCCAGTACTCGGCCCACATGTATAATGAAGCTAAAGAAGCACAGTGGAATACATCCAATCATGCCACTGGTTACTGGGGTGAAGGAGGGCTTCGGCCCCCACCACAACTACTCACACACTTGCTCACTCATCCTCTTCATCTCGAGCCCAAAGCATGTAACATCTATATTTACATGCTTATCTGCATACCAGATTTTATTTTACTCGGGTGGGTACAGGAGATGACTCTTGCTAGCAGATTTAGTGCCATCCCTTCCCACAGCTTATCCTAAAGCTTTATCCTAATCAATGGGATACGAACAGTCACTTTACAACCAGATCTCCAATTACTGCTGGGTGAACATGGGCGAAGAGTTAATCAAAAGAACATAAGACTTGGCGAGTAAATTCATCAAACCTAATCATAATTGGAAAGCAGCATGTCAAGGCTCTGGGAATAATGATGTCTGACGACCTGACGTTTAGGGAACATAACCAAGCAAGTCGGCCAGAAAAATGATAGGATGGATTAAGAGAACTTTCAAATTCAGGGATCCCATCACAATGGGATCCTCACAGATGCTCACACTGTTCAAATCACTTGTGTTGTCCCGTCTTGAGTACTGCTCGACACTAGTGTCCCCCTTCAGAGCGGGGGAGATTGCTGAAGTAGAGAAATTCAGAACATACACAGCATACATAGACACGATAAAGCGTCTAAGTTATTGGGACCGTCTCAAAACTCTCAAAATGTACTCACTAGAAAGGAGACGAGAGAAAGATATCAAAGAACATATACATGGTAAAAACTGGAGAACCAGACCCCAAATTTACAGAGTAATAACAACACATTAGAGTGCGAAAGTGTTAAAGAGTAGAAGTGCCATAAGCTCATCAAGAAAACACTGAACATCATCCTCCTAGAAAGTGTAAGAAATATTGCCGGCACAACATCGGACTTTTTACAAATAAAACGTATCCGGCAAGAAGTGCCTGACCAACCAGGTTGTGGGCCAGAGGGCCTCCGAGCATCGGTCTGATAGACGCATCAAATCAGAAGTCAAGCCTGGCCTCGGGCCGGGCCTGGCGAGTACAATGCTTGGTGTGGGTTTTGGCGAAATAAGCTCCAGAAAAGACACAGTCCAGGAGGGAGGTTACCTTGAGGTGCTTCCGGGGCTCAGCGTCCCCGCGGCCCGGTCGTCGACCAGGCCTCCTCTGGGACCTGATCACCAGTACTGGGGATATAACCGAAGGATGATATTCGTGCGAATTGCCTTTTATAATAAATCCGAGCCCCCCCCCCCCCCCCTGCTTCCTTAATTTCATAATAATATATATATATATATATATATATATATATATATATATATATATATATATATATATATATATATATATATGTCGTACCTAGTAGCCAGAACGCACTTCTGAGCCTACTATGCAAGGCCCGATTTGCCTAATAAGCCAAGTTTTCATGAATTAATTGTTTTTCGGCTACCAAACCTACCTAACCTAACCTAACTTTTTCGGCTACCTAACCTAACCTAACCTATAAAGATAGGTTAGGTTAGGTTAGGTAGGGTTGGTTAGGTTCGGTCATATATCTATGTTAATTTTAACTCCAATAAATAAAAATTGACCTCATACATAATGAAATGGGTAGCTTTATCATTTCATAAGAAAAAAATTAGAGAAAATATATTAATTCAGGAAAACTTGGCTTATTAGGCAAATCGGGCCTTGAATAGTAGGCCTAGAAGTGCATTCTGGCTACTAGGTACGACATATATATTGACGCAGCCTCCGGTCGCTGCCAACCATGACTAATCCCTAATCTCCCCCCTCACAATTTTAGCTGCCCCATGACTGTATTACTAATGTGGTACAGCATCTCTGCCTTCCCTCAGGTAAAGGAATTTGCATATTGCAACCTTAAGTTACACCTGCCATGTCCCCCCCCCCCACCCACCCCCCCACCCCCCCAAGCGCTAGGCCAAGTCTCTCTGCAGTTCATCTGCGCGTGTCTCTGTCTCTAACTCACTCTCTCTCTGTCTCTAACTCTCTCTCTCTGTCTCTGTCTCTCTCTATGTCTCTCTCTGTCTCTCTTCCTCTGCCTCTCTCTCTCTCTCTCTCTCTCTCTCTCTCTCTCTCTCTCTCTCTCTCTCTCTCTCTCTCTCTCTCTCTCTCTCTCTCTCTCTCCCTCTCTCCTAAACGTCCTATCGTGGTGTTGACTGAGAACGCACAAATTACTGGTCACTCCAGTATATCGTGGTCGTTGACGTGAAAAACACTGGCCCCAGTACAGAGCTCGGCACTGGCCCCAGTACAGAGCCCGGCACTGGCCCCAGTACAGAGCCCGGCACTGGCCCCAGTACAGAGCCCGGTACTGGCCCCAGTACAGAGCCCGGCACTGGCCCCAGTACAGAGCCCGGTACTGGCCCCAGTACAGAGCCCGGTACTGGTCCCAGTACAGAGCCCGGCACTGGCCCCAGTACAGAGCCCGGCACTGGCCCCAGTACAGAGCCCGGTACTGGCCCCAGTACAGAGCCCGGTACTGGCCCCAGTACAGAGCCCGGCACTGGCCCCAGTACAGAGCCCGGTACTGGCCCCAGTACAGAGCCCGGTACTGGCCCCAGTACAGAGCCCGGTACTGGCCCCAGTACAGAGCCCGGTACTGGCCCCAGTACAGAGCCCGTACTGGCCCCAGTACAGAGCCCGGTACTGGCCCCAGTACAGAGCCCGGTACTGGCCCCAGTACAGAGCCCGGTACTGGCCCCAGTACAGAGCCCGGTACTGGCCCCAGTACAGAGCCCGGTACTGGCCCCAGTACAGAGCCCGGTACTGGCTCCAGTACAGAGCCCGGTACTGGCCCCAGTACAGAGCCCGGTACTGGCCCCAGTA